GATTATCAATGCTACTTGCTCACTGTTGGACACCAGTGCCTCTTCTGACAACCGTGCGATAAATGCGGAAAATAGTAGAAATACTGGAATTTGTGGCAGAGAGAGAAGCGGTGTCTCCACCATTTCAGGCAGCTTCTCTATTTGCTCCTTGCAGCCTCCGGCATCCTCGGGTGTTTGACCCATCTGCTGACCGGACATCCTTCGGGGTCATGACCTGCACCATGTGCCCAATAGCATCAGCTTCATTGAAAAAGATGATGCACGCCTTCTTACTACGTGCCATCTCAAACAGCTCCCGAACCATGCTGGCGCCCTCTCCTGCGTAGTTTGCCTGTATTTTCCATTCTACTCTTATGGGTTATACACCTGTTTCTGAACAAGCTCAGAGCCAATGACACGGATAAAAGTGGCGTCTGTTCGGTTTGCTACAGCCCGACGTCACCTACGCCGATGTCGGAGGCTGCACGGAGAAGATAGAGAAGCTGCCTGAAATGGTGGAGACACCGCTTCTCTCTCTGCCACAAATTCCAGTATTTCTACTATTTCCCGCATTTATCGCACGGTTGTCAGAAGAGGCACTGGTGTCCAACAGTGAGCAAGTAGCATTGATAATGACGATTGGGCCAGGTGGCCCATATCAGATCCAGATACCACTACCTCCCAAGATCGATGCCTCTGTCACCATGATGCAAGTTGGGGAAAAGCCCGACGTTACCTACTCCGACGTCGGAGGCTGCACGGAGCAGATAGAGAAGCTGCCTGAAATGGTGGAGACGCCGCTTCTCTCTCTACAACGTTTTGTGAAGCTGGGTATCGACCCTCCCAAAGGCGTCTTGCTTTTTGGACCGCCTATAGGCCACATGCAGGGGCCGTCGGCCGCCTACCCCATTTGCCACCGGCATTCATGGGTAGGACAGAGGCCGCCCAGGAACGTCCTGGAGTAGGACTCAGAAGGCATCAGGAAAATGACAAGCTGCTTTACCGGCATTATCCTGACTTTGCCGAGATGAACCTACTTTTTTGGTATTTTCGGCTCTTTACTAGAGAATATTTGGCTAGAAAACCACATCAGTGGCATTGAAGGTGCAAATCTCATTACGAAGAGTGAGCTACGAGCCTTTCAACCCGATTTGGACCCTCAAATGTAGCGGAATTGTGGTTTCAATTTTGGGAAAGTGGGTTCACTCTGGTAAAGTCAGGAAAGTGCGGTTAATACACGTGTCAAAATCCTGATGAGAGGCACTGGTGTCCAACAGTGACTACAGTTTGAATCACATCCATGAATTTGTGCCTCGTCGGCCCCAGGGGCTCTCGCCAGGGCCATGACTGTGGAAGTGCACGCCCGCAACGCAAACCCAGATAGGGGCTATTCAGGCAGACACCGCCACCACGGCCAGGCGGCCACCCAAAGGCCGAATTTCGCTAGGGCTGAGGGTGGTGGTAATCCAACTGGCATCAACCCTCTCTTCCTGCTAGCAACCGTCTGCACCATTTATCATATCCCCTCCCAATGTCTGCCCTCGATTTCACGAAGACAGTGGCAAGATACATGAAACGCCTGTGGACGGCAGGAGATGCGTGGGAATGGGTGCCAGCGCCCACCGATATCCCGACAGCGCTAGTCGCTGACATTCAACGCGCCATTAAAATCATGCAGCAGGCCGATAAATGTCAAGGTAGAGTAGCATTGACATATACGATACATATGCTAACCAATGTATAGTGACCTTACACGATGACATCACGCGGCAAACTAGAATGATCAAGACGGGTAGCAGAGGTCGACAGCCTGAGGAAGAGGCGCTCATAGAAGGCGACCAAATCCGCCTCACTTTTCCACCTGGCCTCTGCCCATTCCACTCACTTGAAGCTGACCGATTGACAGGGCGCCTCTTGGCAACTCGTCCGTTCAAGCTTGTGGATGCCAAGGGGCGCGTGCTGCTATGGTATCTACCGGATCTTGTATTGTTGGACAGACAGGACGCCATGTTTGACGCCCTGCTTCCAGTCGCCCATGTCATGAGCACCACCATAAAGCAGAACGACCATAAGGACCAGCGAAACTCCAGTCTGCTTTACCGGGCTGCGTCATTATGTCATCGAGCCACTCCTGGATGCATGAACGTTTCTCCCGCATGGCAAATGCTGGGTCACGAGGTAAGCGCCGCCAACGCCATTGAGTAACTTGGATCGCCAATCAATATCCGTAGACTGAAGATTATCCACCTGCCAAGTCTGCCAACTGGACAAACAACGCGGAGGTTGGACTGTGGGTGGAGGCCTCGAAGAATACGTTCGCGCTCATGTCTAGTATCTTGAGTATCGTGAACCCCGCCCAGTACCGGCAGGGTTTACGGTGTATGCGACGCCTGGGCCGCAAGGAGGCAGTAAAGGACAGCGTGGGAATGTGGGGATCTGTTTTTAACGCAGTCACGGTCCTTGCTAATCGGGAGAGCTTGTTCCATCGGGATGGGAGTGGCCGCTTCGAGTGGTTTGATATGCTTGCTACCTATGGCAGGTACACCGACGGCCAGTTGTCCCTCCCTGCAGCCGGTCTGGACCTGCACTACCGACCCGGTACAGTTGTTCCATTTTGCGGCAATGTCCTCAGGCACGGTGTGCCACACTGTAATGGAGAGCGTATTTGTTTAGCTTATTACATGCGGCACAAGCTACACGTCCAGACCAAGACTGGACCAACAGACTGGGCATATTCGAGCGATACATAGTTTACTGTCCCTCTAGATAGCCTTCAATGCAGGCAGCACCATGGGGCTGGAATGTTAATGAATGATGGGATGTGTACATGGACGCCGACCTTGGCTATAATCGGAGCCCCCTATGTTCGACTTGCACCTACCTTGTCACGCCAATGCTCATGTCGAGTATTTGCTCTGCATCGGTAGCCGTACAGTGAAAAACCATCTTTCGATGATATGAGTTCTTGAATCCATACTCATACTTGTTCTCAAGTCAGGAGGTACCCTAACCCCTGCCGGCGCCATGGCGCCCAGGCCGCTGACAAAGAATCGGAATATATACCTTTCACACCTCGCACTGGAAATGTCTTCGAGTTAGCCGCCATAGCTATTCCTTGTGCCTCTATGCATAATAATCACATTGTGAACGAGGTATTGTAAACCTTTTATTAGAGTCTTGTATAGTGCAACATAGAATGAATGTCGCCCAAGTGGTGAAGGCGCCCAAGATGACATCTCAAGGATACGCAGGACAGAAATACACATCCTAATCGGGAAAAACGAAGGGCGCAACACTGCATCCGAAATAGAACGGCAACAGTACTAGTATCTCACAATTAATGTATCCGGTGTGAACTATGTCTAGAATTACGTACTTTTGTCAGTTTATTGACCTGACCGGCTGGCAACACTTGCCTTGCCGAAGATTTTCCCATCTGCCAAGTGACCTCCAAATCGCCGCTTTTTGGCGGGTGGGAAAATCCGAAACGGGCAAGTGTTGCCAGTCGGTCAGACAAATGACCTTGGAACTAGTTCCAAAAAAGGCAGCTCCGGCGCCGCGTCATCCCGTCTGGTAAGGAGTCAGGCCCTGGGCGCCCCATGGATTTGGGGGCATGATTGTCAACGGTTCGATGCTGTGCTTCCACAGAATAGGGAAGTTATTTGTGTTTATGCTTGGAAGTGTTCCTTCGCAATGAGGAAACGTTGTTAAATACGTGCAGATGGATGATTGCATGGGGAAAGCCTGATATAAATGCTGGATGCCAACATTATTGCGTAGCTAATGGATATCGCCATTAATACTGCATGTGCTACGTCGCACACATACATGAAGTACGATCTATCGCGATCAGGGCGCCCAAACTGAGTGCGCCCACTTATGGACGTATGTGGAGGTGGGCGCCTATTGTGACTTCGTGCCCTGGGATATCACCTTGAATTATTTTTTGCACTCTAAAGAGGGTGTGGACCACAACCCATGACGTGAAAAATGTGCCAGCTGTGGTAGGAATGCCACAAAGATTAGATGAGTGCTTGAGTGCATTCTCCTTGGGTAGCATACATCAGCGGGGGCGCCCAGACCTCGTGCGTGGCATTATTTCACGCACATAAGTCATAGTTACCCGATTGATCATTCGGTAGATAATGCGCTGTACAGGGCCATAATGAGGGGTTTCGAATACATCGTTCATATCGGAATTGCATTGCACAGAGGCGCAACGAGAAGTAATGGATGTTGATTTAGAGACGACTTCCATGCCCCACTCAATACGTAGTGCGAGATGTCAAAGGTGTCTGTTCTGACGCCTTATTAGCGGCCTGGGCATCAGGGTGCCCGCTGACATGAGCATAAGTAGAGCCTAAGAGTGAATTCAACCCAGATGGGCACCCGACGGTCTGGGCGCAGCGGAGGGTCAGGACGCGCGGCGGCGTCGGCGTAGCGGACGTCAACCCACACCCGTACGGTGTCGATGGGGCGGGCCTCTTGTACTGTTTCCATTTGAACTTACACGCATTTGCGTCCTATACAGTATATATGCATATATGCATACCGGCCTGGTGCCCAACAGTCACTAGTCAAGTGCGCCAACAACGGACGAGGTACGGTGCCAAATATAGGGGCAAAATGTGGTTGTTCCCACGGAGTGTCATTTTGGGCGCCTGGAGTTGGGCGCCTTGAGGGACTCCCTCAAGGCGCCTCGATATCCCTCCGGTCATGTCATCGCCTCAGTGAACTCTGTGGCATACTTTCACGGTCAGGTGCTGGGAGGCGTCTTCTATGTCTACGTCAAGCATTGTGATGGCAAGAGACTCAGACCCCACGCCAGGCACGTTTGACTGTTTTGGACACATTACACAATCGTCACCATTTTCTGCTTTTGCTGCCAAGCATCTCATCATCAACGCATGTAAGCGCACTCAGACGGGCCTCGCTAATGGTTTGTTTTCAGTCCCTCCCCCTCCTTAATACCCACTGTCTGTCCCTCAAACAGTTGCTGGCCAACATCAATGAGCATGCAGCTACCAGAAGCAGTGTAAGTGCAAAATAAGCCCGCTTGAGACATTGGGCAGTATCATTGACATTCTGCTCTCTCAACATGCACTACTATTGTACATTTCAGCCGCTGTATGTGGTTCTATAAGCGTAGTGAATATCTCAATGCTAACCATGCGAGCGTCTGCTGACAGCCGTTCCTGAGCTTTTGTGGGTGGGTCAACCTTGCTCTACGACGTTTGTATCATCATGATTCAGCAACAGCTCCAGGTCTACGACTACGTATTGACGCTGGATGATGATCGATGAGGTGCGACAAGTCATGAAACAGAGAGCGTCCACGTGCTAATGCCCCCTGTGACCAACAGGTCGAATATTAGCGCAAACAATGGCAAATGGAGCCTTGCCTCTCCCCTTTTCTTGTTGCACTGGATACCCCTCTCGGGTTCATTGGCAGGCATTGACTTCGCATGTGCGTCTTCCATTCCACGATGCTATGTAGAGTATTCTGATACGCCAAGTGGTAGACGTTGCTGGCGCTTTCGAGAGCATACATACGGTACGTTGTTATGTCATTGGTTGTGAGTCACATTCATGTGTTACTCCCTAGTGTACATTCTTTGTCCATTTGTATATGGGTCTGTGACATGATTTCTGTTCGCCATATACTGTAGTGGTTCTGATATCATCAATGAGAAGCACTTATCGTCATTGCGACGTCATCTGCCGAAGGTAAGACTGGCGCTATTGTATGAATGCTCATTGTCACCTTCGGTAGGGCTTTTACTTGTCCGAATGTTGGCAATGTGGAGTGTGAGACAAGCCTTGGTTCGCATGCTCATATCTTTCTTTACAGTTAGTTCTGTCCACAGAGGTTGGTCAATATATATCTAATTCGTTTTAGGCCATTTGGGGAATAATTACGGCGACAATCATAGTCACCGAGCTCCATGTCTGTGAGGATTGCCGTAAAATTCCGTCGGCGTGACATCCCAATCCACCTTGTCCCCAGCTGCTGATATATATCATAAGGAGGTCTCTGACTGCGGAGCGCAATGGACGACAGCTCATACGCAGAACGATGATGGGATAGGTACCATCAGCACATTCAGGATACAAAGTTTGGGGGATAGGTGGTAGAGCAGGACGCGACGCGACGGGGCCGATCCTTAGGATATCAATGCCAGGCTGAATTGGGATCATCAATGTTCAACGCAGAAGTAGTAGACTGCGATTTGCAAACAAATGCATAACAGAAAATGCATTTTCCCGCTTTTGTCACTTGCTAGTTCTTCCAAGCGTGTGCAAAGCTCCCAATGCTTGCGGGCGGCCACATTGCTGCCTGCTGAAACATTGGGACGACGCCGCGTGGTCAGTAGCTGCCCTCTGAATGACACGCTGCATATGATGTACTGAACCTAACGCGATACTCTGGGTACAGGTCTGGCTGATATTTCTGACAGGAGGTCGCAACAGTGTTGGCAGGAGGCCTAAAGTTTGGTCCGTGTCATCGCTAAGGCTTCCTGCTGGATTTCGGTTCTATTATCCTTGTCGAGTCAGTAGCTTGCGTAGCTAATGAAAATTGCCATTAATACTGCATGTGCTACGTCGCACACATAAATGAAGTACGATCTATCGCGATCAGGGCGCCCAAAGTGAGGGCGCCCACCGAAGAGGACGTGGGGACTTTAGGATCTTCGGCGGGAGACATTCGGTGGGATTTATTACGTAATCGAAAATCAAAAGCTTTTGATAAAGTCGCGCCGCGTTCACCGCCACTGAGCGCTCAGCCGTACTCCAAGTCCGAGATGAGCAGCATAGTCGCCACAAATAGTTATTATTGGTCTGAGAGCCAACCGTCTATGGCGTCATAATTCTAGCCGCCAAGATTCTATGTACGAGATGGGCCAGGTCATCAGCCACAGATGGGTTTATCTGTCATGATAGCGTTGCATTGGCCAATAAGCCACCATACTCGGAAAAGCAAGAATAAAAAGAAAAGACGCACTAAAAGTGAAGGAGGTGCTCCACCCGAACGTTGGCGGCACCTCCTTTCTTGAGTTTCTTGGCGATTAAACATGTCAGGCCTTCGAGGGAGAGCTTCTTGCCGGCCTCCATCGAGTTGACATTCTGCGAAACTGTAAGCCAATAAGAAAGAATGAGAAAAAGGAAAATCTTACCATAGCACGCAGACGGTTTTGAGCTGTCGATGCTGCAACGGCAGCCTCTGCCACCATGGCAGTGTCACCGGGTGACGTGTTGATGACACTCTCAAAGCCATACGCGTTTGTGTCGGTCCTCACACGACTCTGAGGGAGACTCAGCACGGAGTATGAAGAAAAGTCAACGAAGACGTACCACGATTGCTGCTGACAGCTCCATGTACTCCATACGACCCGGAGATGTAATGAGATCTTGACCGAGTTTTCGCAGAGCTCGCTGTGGGACGTTAGAGGGGATCGTGTCATGCGGCCAACAAACAAAAAAACACCTTTTGCTCCTTGGTGAGCTGATAAGCGGAATCCAAGCGTTCGTTTAAATGTGCCAAGGTGCGCTGGAGAGACTCGAAGTCGACGATCCGGGTGACGTTGATGACGTTGTTCAAGACTTGATACACGAGCGTGATCAGCCAGATGTAGAGATGCAGGCCTTCGTAACCGAGATCATTGCGAATCTAATCCAAATCAGTCAAATAAGCTGCTGAGATCGTAAAGCCTCACCCTTAGAATGAAAGGCATGGAGTGCCATAGACAGAGGGAAAGAAACGCAGAACAGCACAGAGGGCGAAGTGCGAGGGGAGAACGACGGTACAAGTGCTCCCAGAAAGAATACAATCAAGCAAATTGAGGGAGAGACGGCAAGAGCAGCGATGGTCCACCAAGGGGCGACGAGCAATGGCGACGAGGGAGTGGTGATGGTCAAAAAGAAAGACCGTGAGAAGCCGCGGGCTGCCTTGATATGGGGAATTGCGATGTGTGGCGGTTATCGCGGATCCCTGGGCGGCTATCTCGGGAGATCCGAAATAGCCGCCCATACGCCGCCCGCGCATCGCAATTCCCCATATCAAGGTGGCGCGCGGCTTCTCACGGTCTTTCTTTTCGACCATCTCACTCCCATCCCGCTCAACGCCCCACTCGCCGTCCTCAGCTGGGAGCTCCCGTTGATCAGGCCCAGGGCTAGCATGTGGCTATACCTAGTTGCCATTCCCCATATGTTGGTTGCCGGCAACTTCCCACGGTCTCTCTTTTCGACCATCTCACTCCCATCCGTTGCACGCCTCGCTTTTGATAAGATCCGAACTGAGACCACGGACCGACAAGCGGGCCGGCAAAACCGTGCACAGCCACTGAGGCCACAGCGCCGAGTCGGCGTGAGCGACCATTTCCCGGGCGATGACGTGGATTCTCGGCTACGGCGCGGTATTCGCGATCACGTGCGGAGTTGTGGCAACCGCAGGAAGACGAGGCGCCTTGCCCTTGCGCCCAGTTCTCTCCGCTCTCCCTCCTCCACCCCTCTCCATTGCCTCGCTCCCCCACAACTCGCCCTCTCATGGAACCCTTGGGAAGCATTACCATCGCCAGGCTGCCCCGATGGGCGCGCGATCTGGGTCTTGAGTACCCGAGTACCCCACGCGCCGCCCAAATCTTCGTCGACGCCCTCAACTTACGTCTCGCCGACATCATCCGTCATTGGGAGCACAGCGATGGGTATCTGAAGGCGGTGAAAACGGAGGTGGTGAGCACTTCCAATATATCTGCGTCGCTCACAGCCAACATCCTTCAGGCACAATCCATGCCCGCGTTGACGTCTATCAGCATGCATATGACCCGGTCGCCCTCCACCTTCGTCGTTGTCATCCCCCCCTACGTTGACTGGCTGCCTCGCGCGGCTACTCCCGGCGGCCTCGCTTCCCTCGCCCTCGCTCCCTCCGCACTCTCCAGGGCGGCTGATGCCTGGGCGCCCGTCGACACCCGTTGGGATGGTGATCGCCAGATGGGCGGTTACCGCTGGTGGCGTAGCGATTGGAATGAGAAGGATTCGTCTGACGCGTCTATGTCGACGCATAGGTGCGTCCATCCGCTTCTATTCCCTGAGATCGCCGGGCACTGATTGTGCGTAGCCACGGTACAAGGACTGAGGAGGATTCGTCTGATGTGTCTATGCCGACGCATAGGTGCGTCCACCCGCTTCTACTCCCTGAGATCGCCGGGCACTGATTGTGCGTAGCTACGGTACGAGGCTGGCTTCGAGGGCCGCCACTCGCGGTGAGCTCAGCAACGCAGACGCAGGTGTCAGGACCCGAAAGCGCGCTAACACTGGGTAAGTGGCTTGTTATTCCGTACTCGTGAACCCCTTTGATACCCATGACAGCGCCGATAAACCCGAGGCGTCCAAACGTCCTCGCACGACAAAGGTGAGTCACGGTCCCGATCACTGCGTATTGTTTGAGCGGCTGACGTCCGAATATTTAAAGGGACCTTCAGCATCCTCTCGGGGAGGTAAAGCAAGCAGGGGACGAGGGCGGCCCGCGAACAAAGCGCCCACCAAGGTAAGTACATCGCACGTTTCCATAATTGAGGCACGCTCACATTACTGGCGATGCCATCCGACGTGGTGATAGAGCCCCCGCAAAAAACCTCGCCTTGGCCCGCGCTCCACCATGGACCCTCCCTGCAAAAGATGCTCCGAAGCCCATGTCGAATGTGTAGCGCCGCACCTGCAGACGTGTGATCGGTGTTACGGAATGAGCAAGAAGTGCGAGGGCATCCCGAAGAAGAAGGGGCCGACTCGGTTCCCGGCACAACAAGTCAACGCGTCGGCCAGTTCCTCCCGCCAGCAACACGCTGAGGACCGAGCTTCGCTTGGCGAGACACTAGGTCGAAGTCACCCGGACGACGACGAGAGCGCCGATCGCGGGGTCGACGAGGCGTCTAACTCGTCCGCTGATAGCGAGGGCGCCATCGATGGCGGGACGAGTGAGGGCGATGAAGGTAAGCCCGGCAATCGTTGCAACATGGAGTAGCTAATCGACCTCAACCGTCAGATTTTACTAACTTCAACTCACTCCTGACGAAGTTAGTCATTGCCTCTCGCAATAGGCTTCCTAGGGGCGAGTGATAGCGATCACGTAGATAGATACCTTGAATATCAATATTAGTGCTGTGTCATCAGCGTGAAAAATGGCGCCCAAAATGACGCTCCACTTTATGTTGCCCTCATGTCCTGTAGTGCAATCTTCCGATCCTACCGACCCCGCAACTTAAGTCTGTCTACAACCTGCTATGTAAGCATACGGACATGGTGTCCAACATTCAGCAACAGACATGAATCTGAGCCGAATATAGGGGCAACATATGATCGACCCCATGGTCCAGCCCATGTCATCTTGGGCGCCTTGAGTCCTTGGTCTTGACGGTTGCTATTTCTCAATCAGATGCCCTAATAAGCTCTACGGTTGTTGGGTAGATGTTGTGTTCTAACTTTCCAGGCACGGTCTGGGACGATATATATCACTGTGAAAAGGGATGAACCTGATTTTCGGGTGACGAAGTCACGTACATAACTTGTAGTTGTGGTATACATATCCTCTGATAATCATATAATGTTCACATAAAAGTCATTTCACTGGAGTGACACAAAATCAGGTGGGATCTTTACAATTCAAGGTACTAATTCAGGTTTTCCTACCTGATATTTTGCGAGCAAATCGCGACAATCCCACTGATTCATTGAACTCTACTTGATATTCATACTCATTACAGTGGCTATCATGGGCGCATACAGATCAAATGCACTGAAACTAACATTCTATTGGCATGATAACTAGGTGCTATGCGAAGAACCGACACCTGATCCGGTCGGTTTTGACCGCAGGTTTCGGGGGAATAGGACGTTACCGCCCTCATCGTCGTGTGCGCCCGCTGGTCGCCATACGGCAAGAACTCGCGCTCGTCACGGCGACGATGACTGCGTCCATCACGTTCAGCACGTCTGTCGTGTTCGCCGCATCCGTCGCGCTCATCATGCTCTTCGTGTGAGTGGTACCCAGTGCAAGCGTTGCACCTGTCTCGTTCACTGACTTCATCGTGTTCATCGCCTACTGGTGATGACGGCCACTCTGTGTATCCTTCATCTTGTCATTTTTGCGCGACATAGAGGAGATGGAGATGAAAAAATGGGAGTCGCAGCTTACCAAGGCTTATGTCTTTGTTACACCTTAATGACGTCGTTGTCGCTTGTTTTGCCAAGTGTGAAGCAACAAGGCGGCTACACTGTCGCATCACATCAGAGCAACAAGCTATGTCAGTTGTGCCGTGTCAGACCAGATGGAAATAACATACCTATTGCCTGATTCCACCAGTCTTGGGGCGGCGGGCGAAACTTTGCCGGGTCGCGGTATAACCTGAGGTGGCATCTATGGCAACATATGCCTGCACATATGGGGCGTACCTGCGGGCGGGCACCACTCAAGGCGAGGCAACATGCGTCGGGCGAGGTAGAACAAAGTAATGAATGGCGAGGCGTTGATGGAGGGCAGTGATCCATGATGTAGATGGGAGCGCGTCACCTATAATCAGATCAGGCAGACATGGGCACCCGGCGGGACACAGGACCTAGCAGGACGATACTTGCGAGCGAAACCACACCCAGTACATCTATTGCGTCCATGTTCAATCCTACTCCTTCTCCACCGCTGCCGGCTTTCACATGCCCACGCTCACAGTGTCGGCTCCTTTGATGGGCTCGCCGGTGCCCTCGCCCGTGTGCGCGGGAACGGGGACGGAGACTGCTGCTTGTACGCCTGCGCGACCTCGCCCGAGTGAGCACCGTGGGTGGCTGCGCACGATCCACCTTCCCCTGGCGCGATGATTACGGTGTTTGTGCCTGCAACATTGAAGAGGGGCAAGGAGCGACAAGGTGGTGGAGTTAGAAAAGAGAGAGACAAGGGAGCGTTTGTGTGCACTCATGAGCGAGAGGATAGTAATCTTGAGGCGAAAGCGGTGGGTTAGCAAAGTCGCATAATTGTGGTTGGGCGATGTGCAAGCGGGAGAGCGGGGAGAAATGTACAGGTGCAGGTGGGGACTTATTGTGAAGGAACGACTATCTTCCTTTTTACTATAAACGGCTGCCTAGGGGAGACTAGGATTTATAGAATCGAGTGGCAGCGATGCACTTGCACGTATCGGAGTTTGAATATTCCTCGATTTGGAAAGGTTACGTAACTTGCTCCAAATAACGTCTTGGGATTGTTCAGCCATATCTCGCGAACTGCTGGGTCGTATCACTCGAAATTACCGGCGCTCGACTCGCCTCGCCGACCCCTAGGTGAATAGATAGCTGTTACTTCACTATGAAGAGATCTCAAACTTTGTACTTCAGGGGCTACTTATTCTTGGATGCTGTCTGACATCATTTGCTCATCTCTCGTCAACGTACGCGTGTGGGCTGTCTAAATGTGATGGAGCTTGTAGATAATATAGTTTAAAATGAAATGTGTCCTGAAAATGTTGTGAAATTTTTATATAACTTGGGATATTACAATTGAACTCAAGTAACAGGTACCTGATTTCCTGTTTCATATGCTGTAACATAACTTCTCAACTTAGGTGAAAAGTACATGATTTCTCGTTTCATGTAGTGCAACATGACTCAAATTTCAGGTACAAATCACTTTATTCTATCTAGTCAGGCTTTATGTGCATAAATCTCATGTTGATCTACTTTCACAGTGGCGCGCGCGCGCGCGACGTCCTGTATATGCAAAGATGTAGATCTCCTGGGCGCTCAATCGAACATTTATGAGCCCCGCGAAGGCCTGTTTTACTAACGTCGTATTCAGGAACCCCGAATAATTCATTCCATGACAGCTCATTACTCGCAACACTGGCGATTACCTCCCTAACATCTATAAACTACCGTATTTCTCGAGTGTGGTTCCCTGTCCACCTAGCTGGAATATTTTCTTAGCACGCTCTAGTCTCACATTCCACCCTTTTATGTATATGGCTCGAGCTTGGAACCTTCCATAAGAGTTTCAATCAGACCGCGACGCTCACGGGTGTCACAGCGCCCAAGCTGAAGGTGACCATTGCTACCCGTGGACAAGTCGCTGAAATGCCTAACTGCTTTCTAATGCGTTTCTGCGGCCGCTACTAGTCAGTCTCACATTGCGCATCTTACACTGCGTTATACTCAGAGTACAATGTATAAATGGCAGCGATCTGGGTAACTAACGCCGTTGGCGCAGTCACGGTGGGTAGAGCGCCCAGTATGGCACGGGCATCACTCTGGGAACCCTAATATTGCACAAGACCCCACAAGCTCACAGCATGATGCACAATATGCGGAGGCTAACAACAATCCACTGCAGGTACAAGGACCCAACAAAGGTATCAAGGTACTTACCCATCTTGAGCTTGAACATTAACATGTAGAGTTATTGTTTCATCCGTGGCGCTAAGCGGGGGCCTGTTCAGACTAGATGAGTCGGTCACATTGCGGCGCCATTCTAACACATGCCCGCCAACCAAAGTTGCAGAATCTACCTGCTTCGCCGCTTACTCTATAGGGCGTAGGTTTGTATGCTTAACTTCACCGGGGGACCCTATCGATTTGGGGTCCATCGACGGAACGGAGATGTAGGAATAGGATATTGACAATAGTAACCCCCAGTGAGAATCAACTGCACTCCGTGTACGTGCGTTGTGTAGATATATAAAGCATCGGTAGAAGTTGGACGAAACAATTTAGTGTATTGAGGCGACTGGCTCGACCATAATACTCAAATCCATTCAACATAACACAGATTACCATGTGACGTTGCCTTCTTGATCTCAACCAATAGTCAAGTCCGAAGGAGGCGGGCGCTTTACCAACTGGCTTTGGAAAGTAGTCGTTACCATGTCTCGGACGCGCTTAGCTAGGCTTCTGCTGCATGGCATAGGCGGTATGTCCACACTGCTTTCCTATGTCGGCACCAGCCCTTGCATCCCAGATGTTTCCTTTGTGGTTGAACGACGTCGGTACTCATTGCATCTCATGCCGAAGTAAAGTGATCTCCTCTTCCGCGCGATCGGTGTTGCACTGAGTCTTTATCCAATGCAAACGTGAAATTAATTAAAATTTAGTAAGAGGGGCATTTGAGAGTAGCTTGACACGCATATTCGAGTTTGGCGACTAGTTATGTTCTGCAACACCAGCGCCTCTTCGATCTTCATTACCCGTATCTTCAAAGACACAGGGCTTGGCGCTGTGCATGTTTTGACATTTTGACATGACGAAAGCTGAGCCAAGGCTATCTCCGTTTAGCTAGATGGTCCACTAATCTGTCATCGACATTCCTGTCAAGATAATAAGTCAGCACTTTAGTGCTTGCAATAGGCTATCACCTGCTTCCTTCCTTTCTCCCCCTCCCCCTCCTTCCCCAATCACGTCCCCATTGCTTTTGTGATAAACTCGCATTTTCTGATCAAACACTCACTAACTACATTGCGAGGCCGCAGTCAAAGCGGGCCGTTTTTGACCATCGACTCATCCATCCGAGCTGGCGCCCAATGATAGGGAACAGTCGCCCATCTCCTGCGTGAGCGATAGCGACCCTCCTGCAGGTTACAGGCCCGACAGCTACTGAAGCCCTGCTTGCCCGCCCGATAACTCAGATTTTGAGTCGGCCGATCGACAGTATGCCGGCCTCATTTCACCAATCACATCCACCACCACCGTCACCACCACCACAGCCTCCTGTGCTCTTCCGCCCGGGCGGCGTCTCCCACGAGCGTGCCTTCTGTGCCAGTGCCAGACCCCCACCGACCCCTGTTCGTGTCCAAAGACAGGCGAACACTGCATACATAACCACATTCGCTTCTAGCGACGGCTACGAACCGTCTATCACGCTCACCATTTGTAGTTGCAATTACTCAGTAAGTTTCTGTCATCGCAATTTTAGATTCCATTTTGCACTTCTCGCTCGCTGGATCGCTCTACTCGATGTGTCCATGCCCTTCCACGTTGCTTCAGCTCATATCGCTAGCTATTGACCATCATGATGATCCACATCCATATAAATAATGTTTCTCAATTTGCAACTTTACTGGGGTCACATTCGGGCGCGTGTTGTTGTATCAAATAAGTACAAGTTGAGAACGTTTTGCGGAGAATGCCTTTGGTGATAGATCCTTGCCCAACGTCGCCTTCCGTGAAAAGCATCCATATTAATGCAGGTACGGAACCACGCTCCGGCGCCTATCTTATGGTTTACATCAACATTACATTGTTGATATGTCACATCGATGTGTCATGGGAGATACAGCATTGTTCCCCGTCCACCGTAAGATGAGAAGGCGAGAAAACTGACTGGCATTGATTTCATAAAATACAACTATCCAATAAAGGAAACCAAAATGTGAAAGCCGGAGCGTCGCGAGGGCCACAGTTAACAAAGTAACTTGCGGAGCTAACTTGCAACCGCCAAAAATAACTTGAAGTAACTTGCAAGTAACTTTTGGCGGGCCAAGTTAGATCCGCAAGTTAGCTCCGTGTTTTGCGGGCGACAGCTAACTTTTGCTAACTTCTGCTAACTTTCGTTGCATCTCCCCTTCAAACTTGGTGTATTTTTATGTTACAGACATCTGCGGGTACGGAATCGTGTATTTACATAATTTAGGGCGTCTCAAAAGCCATAAAGCACAAGTGTGAGACTCACATGCACTTTTTTGGTCAAGTTGACTACAAGTTAGCTGCAAGTTACTTTCGCGGGCGACACGTTGAACTTGTGAGCAAAGTTAACAGTGAGATGGCGACTTCCTGCTTGTGGCGTGATGGTTTGCATGATTTGCACGGCAGCTGTCACCGAAATGCTGCGATGTCACTGACAGATGACAGCGCTTGTGCGGATATTATTTAAATTAATTGGTTTTGAACCGTCATTATGTATGCGATATAGAAATAAAACATTGCTTGCTATCTACATCGCATAACTCAGAATAACCACTCTTTGAGAGGATGATTGATTGATGGAATGCCTTGAAGAGCATTTGAGCTAAGTCACTGCATTTTTAACCGCTTATTCTTGGATGACATGTTTAAAGTTTAAATTTGCAAAATTACTCCAAGCATAAGGTAGACAAGGCAACATTAGCAAGCGAGCTTGATAGACCTCCTGCAGAATAATGGTGCCATTTCAAGTGTAAAAGTGCCTAAGTATTATTCAATAAACTACTATGAGAGGATAAAGTGAAAAATAACTTGGTACAAGTTACAAGTTAGATTGTCGACGCGTGGGAACAAGTTAGTCAAGTTAACTGGTCTGACTTGGCGGGCAAAAGTAACTTGGCGCACTCTCGTAGCGAGGCGCGACTTGTCGCCTATGCATCTTTCACTACCTGCGTATCTCCAGGTTCACCCAAACACTAAGTATCAAGATCTTAGATTCTATTTAAGATTGGGATCATATGCTCCAGAAAAATTGTAGACCGCTGTTTTCACACACGTCCCACACAGATTGTATGTACTTACCCCTACAATTGTATTCTGCTCACATGTACGCCATAAAGGGGAACGGAGCACTGAACAGAGGATAGCTACTGAAGTTGAAGTGCGAGAGACGCGGGTCAGGGTTCTCACCATTTCTCGCGGATTCGACGCCACCGTTCGGCGTTCGGCACAGTCTCGCGCGCGGCATCCCGTCGCGTGTCGTGTCCCTATTCTCCTGCCTGCTTACATAAGCCACTTCGTCAGTGTAGGGTCGCGCGCCGTCCAGTCGTGGGATCTGTCTCCGATCGATCACGCGACTATGCCACACCGATCGCGCATCGCGTCGATCACGCCGACCTTGATGCCGACTCCGACATCTAGGCTAAGGTATTCCGCGCCTCCGTAAAACTGGGTGAGAAAGAAGTGCGACAGAGCCCGAGGTGACAACCCGGGTAGTCGAGACGCGGCGATGGAATCCGCCAATCACGTATAAGCGCTTAAGCTTTGTCTCGAGCCATATATGGATTTCAGCCAATCAAAAGCTCGCATTTCGGTGGGGAAAGACCGTCCTCTAATTATATGTATTTCTATGCCAGAAGACTCGAAACATAATCGTTCCTTACAAGCCGGAAAGGTCCTTATCAGAATCCCCTTTTCAACAAATACCATGACCTTAGTCGCCCCCCTAATTAGACGTACTGTATATATTGTTTACCTACCACTACTGCCGAGCCGCTACTTAGGCTACGTCCTCAGCGCTTATTTGATTTTCCTCATCCTCCTCTAATTTTATGTAGAATGTAGAATGTAGAAATTTCAGGGATGCTCAGAAGCGACTGCCAAGCGTGGCAACTTCGGACGCTTCACACAACCTCGGTCGGTTACAAAAGCGGCTCTGGGTCTCTTCCGACCGATGGCACATTATGCGCTAGCATATTTACTGTCTGCCACGTTACCATAGCGCCTGAGACTTGAAGTATAAAGTCGTGCCGCTATATGGCGTCTACTGGTCACCTCTCCTTCTGTCCGCTTATCATGGCCCCTCGTCAGTCCGTCGATTCCTCTTCGTCTTCGTACACCATGACGCTGGTCGACGACGGTATCATCTCCAACTACCTTGTTCGCTGGAAGGCCGCTCATGACACGCGTGACAAGGCTGCACAACGGCGTATTGTCACTGATGCGACAAAGTCTATTGTATCTGACATGAACAAGGAACTTTCCGCTGATGACATGCAAGGAATTGAAAATGTAAGCTATCTTTATTCGACTCCCCCCACTTGCTTTAATGGCTCATGTCCAGATTGTGTTGGCCACTCTGAGGGCCTGGGCCACTAAGAAGGACAACGGTAACAACCCGTGGAACGCATACAAAGTCATTGACCATGAGTACCACGACGAAATCGTAGCTGAGATCAACGAGCACTGGATCAGCAGCAATCCAGACGGTAGTTCTCCGAGTGCTGGGACTGATCATTGGCTAGGGCTTTGGGGACAAGCTCGTGGCATTGTAGCGCAGCGCCTGAAGGAGGCGGGTGAATGGGACACCCTAGTTGTTACTGCTGCCCGGTGGAACGCTCTGGGCGCTCCATCACTACTACAGTCAAAGCGAGTACCCGCTTTGTCTCTTGAGTATAGATATCTAATTCTGTCTTAGGAATTTTGATACAAAGTGGGCCCCTGAGCTTACCGGCACAATGAACTTTTGGTTGCGTTACTTTGGTCTTACGTTCTCAGGAGTGTTCGCTCATAAGGATAAGCATGGCATTGTTACCTGCGGATTGTAAGAGCCTTTCTTATCTTGGTATCCGCTTGATAGCTAAACCATGCAGGACTGACTCATTTGTCACCGGGGCGCCCACGTTCGCCGACTATCTAGGAGAAAAGAAGGTACAAAGTCTGTTGAAGGACTTTTCTGATTTTGTGGAGCAGGGGAAACGTGAGTTGATGACGCTTGTTCCCTGGCCGCTTCACTAACAATGCACTGCGTTGCGCGCAGGGAGCAGTGACGCAGACGAGGAAGATGGCGGCGGGTCATCGAGAAAGGGAAGTAGGCGTAAGCAGAAGCCGACGGTGAAACTCGCGCCTAATGGCTACCCTATCATACCCGACTGGGAAGGGACGAATGCCAAGACCGCCCACACCTATGTCCGGGAGGTCATGAAAGCCGCCCTCCAGTACGATTTGCCAATCAAAAAACAAAAGTCTACTGTCCCTTGGGGGGAGCTATCGACTACGCCAGATACTTTCATCTCATCAGAGTATCTACCAGGGCCAGGATGGGGCTCCTTCTTAGAGGCATCTCACATGTCTCAGGACTCCTGCTGGGAGCTCCTCAAGCTTTGGCGCTGCCGGCAAGTTGTCCTCGGGGTTGACGCTGCTTTTCGCTTTAGGCGTAGTGTCATAGAAGATAAGGGCGGCCAACCTGCTCGTCGGAAGTCTCTCCTCCTTCCTGCTCGTCGCCTCCCTGCTGGCTATGACATCAACAAAGTAGCTCAACAGGTCAGTCAGCCTTTTTCTTTTTTACCATTCTGGATGTATGTTACTAATTGCCTTTTTTAATCCCATAGTCTAGCAACAAACAGAAGCAGACTGCAGTGCCCCAGGCTGCTAGTTCTGCTGCTGCAAGACCTGGACACCCTTCTCCTTCAGTGCCAGCCCTGCCAACAACTAGTCGCAGCCCAGTTACTGCGGTGGCGCCTATTGCCTCTAACAAGAGCCAAACAGACGCAATGGTGACTCTTGGTAACACTACTAGGACCGCTGCAAGCCAGACCTCACCACCCCCTCGGCCATTGTTAAAATGGCGGCCAAAGGTGGCCAAACAGAATTTGGTTCTTTCCGACGGCGATGTTGAGACATCTACACATGATGTGGAATTCCAGCATTTTCACATACACTGCATGGGAGATCTTTGCTCTGACTATGAGAGCGCAGTCATTCAGGACGCAATTGACCAGTCTGATGAGCGACATTCCAATGTTACATCATCCACTACTAATCTGGTAAATTTTGTAATGTCCTGGGTGAGTCTTTTTGACTGATTAAAATGCAGGGGAAGCGGCGCAGGACCTCAGTGTCGTCCAGGCGTTATTCAGGCGCTGAGAGTAGCAACGATGAGGACCAGGCGCGCACACCACTGCAGCGCCGTCACCGCACTTCAAGTCCGCCTCCAGCAATTAGTCACTATGATTGTTCAGATATCGACTCAGTTGAAGCAGATGAGGAGATGGACGATGGCACGCGAGATTGATTGTCACGACCTGCACTAAGCTCAAATCATCTCGGAGGTTGGCGTGCATGAATGGAAGAGACGACGCCTCCATTCAAGATAACTAAATATTGCTTCATATATTTACGGTTTTTACTGCATACTACAGCTGCTTAATTATAACAATGTGATTAGCTCTCGTGCCTTTATTGGCCTGCCCGCTTTTGCGTTGATCCGTAAAAGTCGCTGTTCGTTTGCGAATAGGCCCTCGGTGAATCTTAGGTCAGTTCACCAATTTCAGGGTATGCAGGGGACGCCGACCGAGGAGGTCAGTAGCTAGGATGGCCGTTGGTGCCGAGAAGGTCGGGCCAGTGGACATCCGCTGACGATGGAGGAGGTCGAATCCGCGGATGGTTAGACATAAGTAAGATTTACTACAATATTAGTAGTGAAGACTTGTTAGTAGTCCAGTACCTGCTATAGTGTCGGCGTGCAGGTCGGCGTCCAAGTCGGCGTCCAAGTCGGCGTCCAAGTCGGCATCCAATTGCATTGTTTGATACTACTATTTTAGCTATTGTTACATTAGTCGCCTATGTAATGCAGCATCCAATTTTCAGCAGCACAATGAGCGGCATCAGATGAATGGCGGCGTCCCTGAGGAGGTCGGGTCAGCGGACTGGATCAGTGTACTGTAGCTACACTACGATATTCATTGGCAAGCAATCT